ATTTATCAATTAATAATAACAGCTTATAATTTAAAATTAAAATTATATAAAAATAAAATTAATTTATCAATTATTATTGAATAAAGTATCTAATCAGTCAATGACCAATTAGAAATTTAGTTGTGTAATTATGAAACAATTTTGAAAAGAATCAGAAAACTTAAAAGCTGATTATACTTATAATAGAAAAAACTATAAAGAAGCTCAAAAATTTTATGATAAATATATGATCTTGTTTAATGAAATAGAACTTTATCAATATTACAATTTAACAGAAATCGAAACAGAATTACAATTTCAACAGTTAATTATAATTATTTATTTAATTGAAATAAAAAATAAATCAATCTAATTAGTTAACAACCGATTAGAATTTTAATTACATAAAATAACTACTCTTGAATTAATTATTGAAAATATTTTTTATATTTTTAAATTTTATCTTATTTTTAATTATATTATTATTCCATTAATTATTCTTATTCTTATTTATTATTTTCATGACAAAAATTAATATAGCAATTGATGGATATACTGCATTGGGTAAATCGAGTGTTGGTGAATTGTTAGCAAAAAAATTAAATTATCGATTTATTAATAGTGAATTATTCTATCATTACATAGCAACAAAATTTTCTGATTTAGAAGAATTTAGAATAATTTCATGGTTGTCAAATCAACAAGAAGAAAATATATTAACCCAAGTTAATCAAATCAATAACAATCAATTAATTTCAGATAAATTGTTAATTAAAGTTGTAAATAATATTAATATTCGTAAAGCTATTAACAAAGTTATACAAAAAATCACAAAGCAAAAGGCATATATTGTGGCAGGTCGTGATGCTACTTTTAATATACTTCCTGATGCTAAAATCAAGATTTTTTTAACAGCTAAATTCAATGCTCGAGTTAATCATCGAATCAAATAATTTAATATTGAAGCATTTAATAATATATAGTTGGATATACTTAAACGAGACTCATCATCATCTGATTTAATTAAACAAGCAAAAAAGATATTGTAAAACATCGATACAACATATCTTGAATTGTCTGAGGTGGTTGATAATATATTATCATTAGTATTTAACAAGATATTCAGAATTCGATATAAGAAATATTTTCAAGTATTTTTTGTATTATTTTTAGTAATTTTATTAAATAAATACCATCTAGTTAGTCATTAGACCAACTAGATTTTTTTCTATATAACAATTAACTTTTTCAAATCTTTTATAATGTCAAGAAAAAACAACAAACAACACAAATTGTTATTGAAAATAATAATTTAACAAAAACAAATAAAAATGATAAAAAACAATTTTCCTCTACAGAGGAGATTGAATATTATTTTAAATTAAAAAATTGGAAGCTTTTCAGTAAAGTTGATAATGATTCATTTGAAAGAGCATTTCTAAATATTAATAAATGTCTAGCATTTATACACAAATTAAAAGATTATTATAATGCTAGAATAGATGAATATAAACTTATTGAAAAAAAATTACCAAAAAATCGTAATAATCATTATTTTTTTAAGGCAAGAAAATTTAGAGAAAATATTTTGAAAGTCCCTAAACAGGGTGCACTTATGGCTATTCAACGTTTAGAACAGAGCATTAAAGATCTTGAAAATGAAATTCAAGATAATGATGAAGAAATTAAAACTTAATAAATTATTTTCATATTTTATTTTATATATTTTTATTAATAAATAAATTATTTATCTATTCAGTTTTATACCGAATAGAATTTTATTTATATAAAAACAAAATGATGCTTCGAAATAATATAGCTATTTTATCTTTTTTTTTTTAATATTTAAGGTGAGGTCACACCTCTGGTTTTTATTAACATATACTTAGATATATCCTTACATATACGCTAACGTAGCACTACAGAGACTTAGACTAATTTATCTATGACCTAAACCTACTAGAGTGGTTCATGCTCTACATATGTCTCACCTAGATTAACGCTTCTCATCTAACTATTTCTAGTAATATCACATTCCCTCCACGTCTCACCTGACCAGTTATAACTTCTAATTTGGTACATCAGGTGTCCGCTCCTAATAAGCTCTCAAGTTGGTATATCTATAAGCATGATCTACTGCAATTTCTCTCTAAGGTATTTTATTTGTGCAATTGTAATTAGTGCAGATGGTCTAACAGCCTCGTATCTCAAGCCAGGAACTTGCTGCCTAGTTAGGTTCACTACATAACAGAGTTAGTATTCCATTATTGAATTAAGGACTTATCTTGAGTTTGCACCGCCTTAACCGGTTTACATCTCTTCATGCACCATCTCTCTCTATGAATACCCTAATCTCCCACTTATCTGCCTAGGTACTACTAACCTGTATCTCAAGCTAAGCTCTGCTGCCGCTGCTGGTTTATCACCCCAGGACTTAATGTTCTTTTTCCGATATAGTAGTACTAACTAATCCATTTGTACTTCCTCATATAGTATATTACCAGAACCCTATTGTGTAGTTGCTTTAATGACCTATCTTGTTAAAGACCAGCCTAACGCCACAAAATTTCTTAAGTAGCAAGCAATTCTACTTCCAACCGTAGGCCTTGTGTTATGTTACTAGAAGGCGTACCCAATTCACCTTGACTTCCAACTTGACTCTTCATCATTGGTTGGTGTTGCATTATTGTTGGTGTATTCTGGCTTCTTTCATCAATGACTTCCATATAGGTATGACCAGAGCTCTGACTTGGTTCCTTTATATATACTAGATTAGCTCGCCTGCTTCTATGAAATTATCTTCTTTTAGCTAGTTGTTCCACGGTGCCAGAGGTGCTTCTTGTTTAGATAAGGCTAATTCTTTATCACAGCCCTTTCACATGTTCACCACTTCTCTCACCATTCCAGTTTCAGTAGTATTGTATCACTCTCCCAAGCAAGTACCCAGCACCATTTCTAAATTAGAACTAATGCGCACGATCCGTTGATTATCCTTCCAAGCGAGTATCCTACAAGTTGGATACAAGAATGTTGGTGTTGCCTAATATAGAAATGAAGGGATGTCGGTGTTGCCTCTAAGTCACCCCAACCAGAGGGCTAATACGTGCAATCTTCTACAGCCTAGACCTTCTGTGATGCCGCTGTCACACATGATGCCTACACTCCATGATCAGAGCTCCTTCCGGAAATTCCTATTCCAAAACCGTACTTGCACTTAGACTTTCCACAGGGCTTCGCATCCGATTATGGCTCCATTTTAAGGTTACAGTAACAAATTCGAAAATTTGCTACCAGCCCGACTTGAACCGTCAACCTTGTCTGTGGGGGTTTAGGAGCTTAACCAATAAGCTACAGGGCCCAAACCCATATAGCTATTTTATCAAAACATAAAAAACTTATTTTTTATACTAAATTTCATATATACAAATCTCAATCAATATAGATTCGAAGAAGTCTTTGTATTAAAACAAATTCTAAACCTAATTATTGTGTCAAATGACAATATACCAAAAAATATATTACTAATCACGATTGATTTAAAAAATATCTTGAACAAAGAGCAGAAACAGATTTAATACTTCAAGAAAAACATGACTCAACAGATAGAATGTTGAGACATTGGGATCATATTCCTCTTGAAAAAGATTATGAAGAAATAACCATTTGGAATAAAGATCATCCTGATCACAATCGATTTAGAGAATATCTTGAACAAGAAGCAGAAACAGATACTGATTATTCACAAAATCAAGAAGTTAAAAATAATATTAAATCTGAACAAATTAAATATATAGTTAAACAAAATGGTATTGTTCTGTTACAGTACCGTGGCCTTCTTAACAGCAGTACTATAACAATGACATAGCTACAGAGATCCTTCACAGATTTATAGCGGTGTCCAACAGATAAGTATAATTTCTGCTTCGTAGAGAAACTATACCCTTCTGTCTGTGGCAGTTTGGGCAGACAATAGTTTATAGATAAAATATATGTTTATTAAAGA